TGATATGACGTTTGTCACCCCAAACCTGCCGGTCTAACTGTAGCTAACAGTTTAGGTGCGGGATTGTCAGTCCCATATAGATCTATACACAAATATCACGCTCTCCCTACAAGAGATTATGGCTTATAAAATAGGACTTAATCTGCGAACTGAACGGTTCGATAAATTCAGATATCTCACAAAATTTGGTATTAACAGGTTTACGTATGAAAAGTCCATTTTCCTTGTGAATATAAGTATTTCCTCTTTTGTTTATAGTATGTAAAAATATCATGAATATCTCGTAACTATACCTATTATAGTTTTAAAAAGGGTGTTTCGTTAGAATGAAAAACCTTGGTGTATTACCAACCTTGCATGAAAAGTAGTCTTTAACTTTAGTAGATACGTTATTTTATGTATTTAACATTTGTACATAAGATGTAGGTAAAACATTTAAACCTATGAGTATTTCAACGTAAGTTTTTCTTGTGTTTCACTTGTATTCCCCCCCCCCCCCCTAAAACATGAAAAAGACGTGAAAATGTAGGGGTATGAACTCACTTGATAAGTGGTGAATCAGGTAGCGTGTCGTTTCTAGGAATGATCTTTCTTGACATAACTGTTGGGTTTCTGGTGAAGAAACGAGCTTCACGCGGGCAGCACTTCGACTGGAAAGAATGTTTTTCTTGGAAACTTCGGGGCGTCGGGACACGCGTCGTGTTTTAGGGGTGTTACCGGGGCTTCGGGGTAGTCTCGGGATGCTTGAAACAGAGTAAAAGTAGCAAGGAGAGTAGAATTGAGCAGCCTAAACCCGAGGCCTTCGGTTTCTATTTATAGGGTGGAAATTCAGGGTTCACGTCGTGAATCTCAAATATTCACGTCGTGAGTTCAGTAGTCATCAGGTGCGTCATCGCAAATTGCGTCTGTCAGGCTCCAGAAGTCATTAATACTGAGTTCACGTAGTGAACAGTGTATTCACGTCGTGAACTCTGACACAGTGTCGGGGTTCGCGCCCTGAACTTCAAAAATTCATAACTTTCGAATACGAACTCCGTTTTCGACGTTCTTTATATCGACGTGTAGGTGAGATTATTCTATACAACTCTCGTTTAGACTTTGTTGGCTAACTTTGATTTTAATTTTTATTATATTTATTTTTAGTAGGTCGGGACAGAAAAAATCCATTAAAAATTCATAACTTCTTCATCTGATGCCCGTTTTCGTCTGTCTTTTTACCGTTGTATTACTATTGTCGAGATCTTCAATTCTTGTTTAGGTTGCGTCGGCTAAAAGTCGCTCGATCTCTATTTCGAGTTTTTAGCTGTCTGCTATATCCGAAACTTAGAAAAATCACAACTTCCTCATACGAAGTCAGATTTGGACGTTCTTTTTATACACGTTTACGGTTTAACATAATCTATGACTTTCGTTTAGATACCTAAGGCACAAAAGTATTTTATTGAAATTTTACTTTTTACACTTGACAGTGTTTTACCGGTTTTGTCGCGAATCTTTGATTAGTCATAAATTTTTCGTTATAACTCGGATTTGAGTGTTTTTTATATTTCTGAAAACCTTGATATGATATCTAACATTTTATGTAACCCAATTGAGACTTTTGAGCAATTCGTTTTTGACGTTATTTTTATTGATTCCAAAATAGATTATAATATTTGACTTTTTGAAGATTATATTGATTCGAAATATCGGGTTGTCACAAATTAGCAATTTGCCACTACGGCTTCTAAGGGCTAATTCCAACCAATTTCAAGGACCAAAATGAGATATTTAATTACCAAATGAATGATTTGAAAATACCTGAAAACTCGGGATGTTACAAAGCACTTATCAGTTAAGCATTTTATCAATTTAACACTCTATCAATTAATCACTAAGAACTTATCATGAAATTAACCAAAAACACTTTAAGCACTTATTAATTAAACACTTTATCACTATCTTATGTGTACTCAAACTAGTAAACCTAAACAACTAACACAAATATAACATATTACACATTTTATACATCCAAAACAACCACTCAACATTAACAATTACCTAGTCAAAGATTTTAAATAGATACAAACATCACCTAATCAATGACAAAACTAAAACAAAAGCTAGAAACCTTACATGTTCTTCGTACTGTGGTGCCCAGATTCTGTTGGACGGCGGTCGGCTGTAGACAGTGGTCCTTCGGTGGTGAGGTGGTCGTCGGACTAAACCCCAAATCAAAAATAAAAAAATAAAATAAAATAATCCTTACCTGCAACTCCTATTGTGGTGGCCGGAAGTAGGTAGTTGTTGGATCTCGGTGTTGTTGTCGATTGTCCTCCTATGACTACCTTACCGGGAAACAAAGCAAAAAAAAAAAAAAAAAAAAAAACCCCCGAAAATCTCAAAATCCAACCAGAAAAAAGTGAAATCGGAATAAAAGGAGTGACCTAGAAATTATCCGAGGTTGGCGGTGAAGGGAAGTGGTCGAAGGAGTGACCTAGAAATCCAACGAGGGTTTCCGGGCCAGCTTTCACGCACCGACTAATCCCCCGCTGCAAACATGAGGCTTTACCTCATGCCCTGGAGTCACTGCAGGCGAACCTCAATGGCCACAAGGGCTGAGTGGTGTCAGGATTTGAACATGGGTCAATAGGTTATCTACCATATCTTTCACATGCCTTACCAAGTCACCACAACCCAGATATATATATGTGATAATTGTTGAGGTATCTTTCTTTGTTTCATTAATGCATGTTTCATTAATGTACATGCATTGCCGATTGTACAATATAAATTATCAAACAAAACTGATGATAAACTTAAATTTCGATCAATGAATTAACCTGTCAGTGAAATCAATAATCATAAGCATTTGCTTTGAAACTTGACAATGGGGTAGGTGCATTTACGTTTTTCTAGCTATCATAGCAAAAACACACACACACATATATATATATATATATATATATATATATATATATATATATATATATATATATATATATATATATATATATATATATATATATGTGTGTGTGTGTTTTTGCTATGATAGCTAGAAAAACGTAAATGCACCTACCCCATTGTCAAGTTTCAAAGCAAATGCTTATGATTATTGATTTCACTGACAGGTTAATTCATTGATCGAAATTTAAGTTTATCATCAGTTTTGTTTGATAATTTATATTGTACAATCGGCAATGCATGTACATTAATGAAACATGCATTAATGAAACAAAGAAAGATACCTCAACAATTATCACATATATATCGCTTTTCAACTCTTTTTCATTTATATACATATAGTGATATCTAAAAGTTTTAATATCACCCCAAAAGTAAAAAACTAAAAGAGAATTGTATTATTTAATTTGGGCATTAAATATGCATTAAACCCCCACTGGGTTTATGTTATATGTAGTCATTAAAACTTTCAAATCCCAATAGCTCTTTTTTTTCCACTTAAAGACACAAACAAGTGTTGCCTCTCCAAACCCCATGTAGTGAATCTTTGACGTTTGACTAAAATGGCCCACTTCTTCTTCTTCATTTTTTTTAATCTAATTTTAACATTTTTCTCATTTATTTTAAATAAAATTACAATTTAATGGACGGTTTTATAAAACTAGACCATTTTGTATTGAGTGTTTCAACCTTTAATTTAAACTGTCAAGGCCATTAAAAAAATTTTGATTCATTTTCCTGTAGTATGAAATACGCTATAAATACGGTGAATGTTAACTGATTCATAAATGACTTCTAAGATTTCATTCAAAGATTATCAAACAGCTCATGATAAACTTAACTATTAATATACAATCAGCGCTATAAATTCATATATTATAAAATCAAGCTATTTTATATTAAAGCTTATCAAATTATCAAATCGAGTTTAAGTTTAACTTATTCTTATTAATTCTAGCTCAAACTCGTCGACTTATTTACAGTCTTTAATGTATTTATAATAACCATAGGTAATGGAAATCAACAATTTTGTCCGGTTGGGTTTTGAGTACAATTTGATTCATACAACAGTTTTCTCTTGATTCAGTAAAAACTTTGTTCTAAGTTAATGACCAATTTACCAATTACGTAGTTGGTTTTCATTTGTAGATAACGTGCTTGGTTTTATTTGTAAAAAACTTCAATAATATCATAGTTATCCAATTTAAACAAAGATAACAAAATACAATGTCTTTTAAGTAACTTTTTTTTAACAATTATATAAAGTTGTGCATATTGATAAAGTGATTAATTGGCCAAAGCCAAAGCAAATAAAAGGCTAAGATGGATGTAAAGTGATTAATTGGCCAAAGCAAATAGTTTTCTAATACGAGTAGGGTCGATTGTTATACACTTTTTCATGTATTCAAATTTCATAAATAAGATTAAAAAAAATAAACTATTTTTTCAAAAGTAAAGAATATGATTTATCAGCTAAAATGATATAAACATTTACATATATTGTATACGAATTTCGATCAATTACATTCTTAACCAAGTTTTTTAATATTTAATAATTTGAACCATAAAAATACTACATAACAAAAACATGTAAAGTAAAAGAATCAATGTGTCATTACCTTTTAAATTCTCTTTACTTTTTTTAATTTACTACACTAAAAGAAGCTTTTTAAGACAGTAATATTAGTAAAGTTTAATAAATACCACACTTTATGCATCAAGTTTAAAATTATTAACCAAAATACATAACCATAATAGATGGCTTAAATCATCATTTTAAGATAATAAAACTAACTAAAACATTACATTATAAATGATGTTAGTAGCACTTGAAAATAAAGTCTACAACTTCAACTATATCTAACTAAAACTACTTGACTTAAAAACAGAAAGCACACATAAAGTAGACATTTTTAAAGTGCTAATAACATCACATACTTAGACGCTATTTTGATTTTGTGTCACATAATATAACAAAATCAAAACTTAAAGTAGATAGATAGATAGTCGCATATAATCAAGACTTGGTTGAAGTCACGTGCAAAGAGTTGATGGATTCACATGTACATGGATCGTTCCCCATGCATGAGCTTCGAAGCCAAAACATTGTTCCAGATTTCAGTGAAAGCTCTGATGATGATTCCATGGTAATATGGTGAATTAAGCTGCAAGAAACAGTTGAGAAGCTCCCTAAGATCTTCTCTTCCGTATATCTCTTTCTCCATTATCATCTGCAGCATTGAATCTCTGAAATCGACATACGGGTCGTCGGAATCTTTCTCCACCGCCAGACTGTTGCCGCCGATCTTCCCAAACCCTTGAACCGCTCTCAAGCTAACTTCAGACTCGTCCAGCGTCGACTCTGAGGTGTTGGGTGAGAATAAGGTTGCGGTTGGCGTGGTGGTGGTGGTTGTTGGGGTGGTGTTCCATGAGGTGGAGGTGGAGGAGTGGTGGTGGTTGTGGTGACGGCGGTGGTTGTCGGGGTAGTAGTGGGTGTGGTTTCGTTTGTATTTGTTGGGTTTTGGGTTGAAGATCTTGGAGAGGTTGAATCTCCGGCAGCCGCCACCGCAGCCGACGCTGACGGCGGTGGTGTTGAGTAAGAGCTTTTTGTTGATTGTAGGCATAGTGGGGGTGAAGAAGAGGGAAGCAGAAGAAGTTGACTCATGTGATGAAAGTTTTTGTTTCTCTCTATAAATTCTGTTTTCTTACCAACAAGTACATACTAACGTCACAGTACCTTAATTTGCTTTTTCGTCACAGCCCAATCACAGAGTTTGACAGATTATAGTCATTCCCTCCAAAAAAAAATTCTAAAAAAAATCGATTCAATAAGTTCAATCTAATCTAATAAATAATAAATAATATGTTAATATATATATAATTCATTATATTTTAATTTTGAGTTATAAAAGCCATATATTTATGAAATAAATTTGTATTGCGATTACTTGACCTTGTATTTATCTATTTATGAAATTAAATTTTATTGCATATGATATCATAGATACTCTTAAAACTAATCCATTTTTAAATAGCTTTTCATTACTTACATAATATCATATATAAAACAAGTTAAACGGACAAATAAAAGATTATTTCAAAAAGCATAGGATGTTTCATAGAGTACATATAATGAAAAATCATGTTAGCTTTAACATTTATAAAACAGAAAAATATGAAGTAACCGTAGTAAAATTTGATTTTAAAAAATAAATAATGTTTATTGTAGTAAATATAATAATTACTCCGAAAAAGAGTTAAAAGATGCTTTTATTTATGTTTTCGGAAATAATTCATATACATTTTTAAAAAGTATTTAAATTTATATTATGTGTATGTAAAGTTTATTGCTTTTCACAAAATACAGTGAGTATATTATTGGTAAGTAAGAGACTTTGAACTTTGAAGAATCAATTACGTTTTTTTATGTATATAAATAGGTAACGTAAGTACAAGAAATACTTGGATTTCCTGAAAATAATGGTATTTATATTTATATTTCTAGTTAATAGATTTCAGCATAATCTAACTGACCAACAAACAACCTAAAAATCTTTATTTTTTTGGATTAAGTCATAAACAACAAATATGTTTTCTGATTTCTAATTGTATTTTAAGTAATCATTGATTATTTAAAACATAGACGACTACATCAAATAGATGAAGGTCAATGTCGAGTGATCTACAAATTTGGTCAGCTTTTTACTAAGTTTCTTATTTTATTTTCTAAATTTTGTTAGCAGATACTTTTTCTTTTTTTTTTTTTTTTTTTTTGAAAATTCGATTAAGTGTATAGGGTCTTTAAGTATTTTATTTATCATCACACGTACGCTAACTAGATAAAATTGTTTATAATAAAGATTAAAAATAATATTTTGTTTTGTTATGTTCTATTTTCACCAAACGATATAAAAAGAGTTTGTCCAGTTCTCTTCAATCTAATTCACGTCAGTTTTATCCAATCCAGTTTCACATACCAAACAATATCTAAATAAATATTCACTATTAACCAAATCCAAATAAAAAAGTTCCTTGTTTTGTAAACAATTAACCTATGTGAGACGAAAGTAAAGTAAATTTCAATGGATGGATAAACTGAAGATGTGAACACTTTTTCTAACTTGAAAACTGTAACACCCCCTACCTCTTTAATTATGGTGTACTTCTTAACCTTTCTCTTTTATTTTTTTAATTGATAAGTATATATATTCCATTCTTTAAAAAAAGTTAATTTTAAACTTATTTTGTAAAAAAATAAAATTCATAGTTCAATTAGAGAACTTACCAAATGATGATTTCCGAACCAGCTTTTGTGCATTGACTTGCGAATTATGTCATTGCAATCTAATATCAATAGAGGTAGGGGTTAAATATTGTCATGATTTGAATATGAATCAGTGTTGTTCACAATATTTTTTATGTATTCTATCAAATAACCACAATCTAAATGATTTTATCAATTCTTAGCTCTAGTTCACGTTATCAAATGGCATTTATGCAAATGTAGTAAAATACTTGTAATCGAACTTATGTTATTATTAAAAAATTTGAATTTATTAATTTAATGGAAACCCAAGGAATAGAGCATAAAATATCACAGATCCTGCCAAAATAAAATATAATAATGATAATAAGGTATAAATGGAAGAGTTTGGAAGCTGGCATATGACAGTAGGTCATTTATCTTTGGGATTAATTAAAGCAATTAAGTATCTATTTTTGTATAAATTGTAATTGCATCTCCAGAAATAAAAAATAGAAAGAACCCATATAAACCGGCTGATTTAACTCCAATGGATCGCAGATCCCACCGGATAACATCAATTTCATACACTCCATTTCTTTTTTCACTTTAAATAAAAGAGCCGTTTATGGGTTTTCTTAGGAGTAAATTACAAAATAATCCCAATACTTATACGAAAATTATGGATTGGGTCCTGAAAGATTTTGTTTTTGATTTCATCTATAAAGTTTCAATTTGTTTTGAATTTAGTTTTTTTTTGGAACCGGCAAATATATTAAAAGGCCCCGCCACCGCCCGCCTAGCAAGACACTAGACGGCAGAGGAAAACAGGAGAAAAACAAAAGTTTACGTACAAATAAGAGGAGAAATGGACCAATCAACCCATTTGTAATTATAGTTCATTCGTATATGTTTTATCCACACAAACATCTGAGACTTAATAATATCTACCATCATAGTTGGAGACGAACGTATGTTTTTAAGTACTCTGTCGCACCTCGCCTTCCAAATCCGCCATAACGTCCCGTAGCAGATAGCAACTATGTTATTTTTTCGGTCCTTATCCTTCCCAAAATCATCCAGGTACCCAGTTAACTCTCCAATTGTCGATGTCTGTACCACTGGAATGCCACACCACTTCAGCACCCAATCCCAGACTGCTTTCGCGAACGTACAAGATAGCAAGATGTGGTCGTAGTCTTCCACATCTGCTAAGCAACAGCTGCACATCACCGAATCCAGATCTAAACCTCTATTTCTAAGAGCACGTAACGATGGGATACGCTTCTGCATTGCTCTCCAGATAAAGCCTATAACTTTGATAGGGACCTCATGAATCCATTTCACCCGATCCATCATTACCTAGTTTTGAGGTTTATCGATTATTTTCCTGAGAGTAGCCACCTGGAACTCGCCATCAGCTGTAATACCGTACTTCCAACCATCATTTGAAGCCTGCAACTGGAAGGACCCAAGCAATGTCTCAATACTATGTAATTCCTCCAAATTGTGCATCATATTGTGGGCGTGAGATCCAATCCCATGACGGGCCATCATCTCGAATTCTATCTACAATCAAGCATCTCTTTTTCTTTTCCAGTTGATACAACCCTGGGAAAGCAGATTTTAGAGGTTCGCCACCAATCCAATGATCCAACCAAAACATAGTATCATCTCCTCTCCCAATCTGCTTATTAATCACATGTACCGTATTAATTCCTATACTGCTCAAGACATGTCGAATACCGGCAATATTGTTCCATACTCCCGTAATGTATTTGTTTGACATAACATTGGAAGGCTTGATACTTAGGTTATGAATACCTTTAATAACACGGGCCCAACTCGTTGTGGGATTTGTTCTCAGACGCCACCACCACTTGGTTAATAGAGAAAGATTAAGAGCTCAGATCGAGCCCACACCCAAGCCTCCCATATCCTTTGGAGCGATTATTTTTTCCCATGCGACCCAGTGTATTTTTTTCCTATCCTCAGCACCTCCCCAAATGAATTTTCTCCTGATGCTCTCCAGTGTATTTAATACACCTATAGGTGCTGCAAACAGTGATAGGAAGAATGTTGGAAGGTTTCCCAGCACTGCTTTCACTAGGGTCAACCTCCCACCGAAGGATAAAGTTTTTGCCTTCCATGTAGATAGCTTGGATCAGAAACGTTCAATCACCGGGGCCCAATGGCGCTTAAGATTCATGTTTGCTCCCACTGGGACGCCTAGATAGATAAAAGGAAGTGACGACGGCTCACACCCAAGAGGCACAGCCCACCTTCGAACTTCATTGGGACATGCTCCAATTCCAAACACTCGGGACTTAAAAAAATTTACTTTGAGTCCAGAAGAGATTTGGAAACATCGCAAAATCCGTGCTAGGTTGTGTATGTTTGATCTGCTTCATTCACCTATAAATAAAGCGTCATCAGCATAAAACAGATGTGAGATTGTCATATCTTCTTGTGGAATCCGAACTCCCTTAAAGATGCCTTTCTCGCACACCGACTTCATAGCAACATTTAGCCCTTCCATTACCATTATGAAGAGTAATGGTGAGAGTGGGTCGCCCTGTTGTATCCCCTTCCCGAAATTGAACTCAGCTGTGGGTGAGACATTTACAAGTACCGATGTCCTAGCAGATTCGAGACACCCCTGATCCACAGCCTCCACTTTGAGCCGTACCCCATTTGTTCCATTATAGAATCCAAAAACTCCCAGTTAACCGAGTCAAAGTCTTTGTCGAAATCTACTTTGAAGTGGAGTAGTTTCTTCTTTATTTTTTTTACCCATGCACATAATTCGTTTACAATTAGTGGCCCATCGTGTATATTTATGCCTTCAACAAATGCCGACTGGACCTCATCTATGTTATAACCAATAACCCTTTTGAGTCGGATGGCAAGAGCTTTTGCTATAATTTTATATATATACTTCCAATTAGACTAATTGGTCGGAAATCCCCAAGAACTAATGGATCCTTAACTTTTGGCACCAGAGTAATAAAGGATGAGTTGCACCCGAGACTAAGTTTCCCCTGTTGTTCGAAGTATTTAACAAACCTGAATATATCTTCCTTCATTAAGTCCCAATATTTTTTATGAACTTGAAGCTAAAGCCATCAGGCCCAGGGGCCTTGTCTCCGCCACATGCCCAAACAGCTACCCTGATCTCCTCCATAGAAAAAGGAGATTCAAGGTTATGACTAGTATCCGAATCCAGAGCGTGGAACTTTGAATTAATCATTTTTGGTCTAGTAGGCCAATTTTCCTGGAACTTTATTTGAAAAAATCTATGTACCTCCTGTTTTATTTCTTCTGTATTTGTGTTCCACACACCGTTTATAACCAGCCCGTTAATGTGATTTCTCTGTTGTTTGTTATTAACAAAAGAGTGGAAGAAACTTGTGTTCTCATCTTCGTCAATTGCCCATTTTATCCTTTCCTTTTGTTTTGCATCAAGGGAAACAATCTTTTCATGCTCTGCTATCTTTTTAAACACCAATCTTCTTTCCTCAATCTCCGATTCATACAATTCACGGGATTCAGATGCCACATCCAACTCCTATAACCTGATTTTTAATGCATGTAATTCCTTTACTTCCTTTGAATAATCACCAGCCCTCCACTTCTTGATTTCATTTTTTAAAAATTTGAGTTTTGCAGCTAAGTATCTGTCTTGCATCTCGTAACCAACGAAGGACTCCCAATTTTTGGTTACCACCTGATCGAATCCATCACGTTTCATCCAGGAGTTGAAGAATCTAAACGGGGTTTTGCCAAAGTCAACGGTCTCCGTTTGCAAAATAATTGGGCAATGATCAGACAGTTCACGTGCTACAGCCACCATAGAGATTTTTGGAAAATAATTAAGTAACACTGGGCAGATCAGAAACCTGTCTAATTTACTCATTTTTGGCTCCGGTTGACAGAAATAAGTGTAGCGATGACCCCCCATCCTTAATTCTTGAACCCCGGCATCCCCGATGAATCTATTAAACCAATATGCTGTTGAATGGTTAATTTGAGAGTTGTATCTTTCATCCGGTCTTCTAACAGTGTTAAAGTCCCCAAATAATATCTAAATACCCCCAATCGTTTGTTTAATTCCCAATAACTCATCCCAAATCTTCCGTTTCTCCATCGGGGCCTGGGGCCCGTATACGTTGTAGAAGATGACCTTCTCCTGGATACCCGACCAAGTACCAACAGTAATTAGATAGTGACGAGATATAATTACCTCAATAACATCGAAGAGACAAACATCCCATATGCTTAATAATCCCCCGACCTACTTGTTGCATGTGTTGCAGCATAGCCGAAATCTGTAGTGCCCCAACAGCCCTCCACATCGATCTTCTCAGAATCCAGCAGTTGAGTCTCTTGGATCCCGAAGAATGAGACCTTGTATTTGTTTTTGAGCCTTCTCACCCAGGTGACTTTTTGGGCTTCACCAATACCCCTTATATTTAAACTCAAGCAATTCATCGTGGAACATTTTTCTCACCGAATTCACCCATGACTTCCAGCAATACCGGATTTTCTTCGTCAATTTCAAATCCAAGTTGTCTACCGATTTTAATTGTCTTCTCTGTTTCTGAGTTGAAGGAGGTACATTCTGTAGCACCATCCAGGGACCACATCTCTTCCACGTTTCTATTGAGATCAATCGAGGGATCATCTCTACGTTCAGCACGATCTGGCGATTGGATATCATATCCGGGATGAGGTATCGTGGAGATTTGGGGGTTGGAGGAGTAGACAGTGCTTCCAGGACTATTACGTTTTTTTTTTGCAGCTGATACCCCAATAATTGTTAATTGGTCCATCATATCGGCTTGGGCCATATGGCAAAGTGAAGGTAAAGGCCCAAAGCATCCGCTTGGGTTTAGCTGTCCATCTAATTCAGGGATATTTTCACTCGTGGGGGGTTCTTCTTCCTGGATCTCACGTAGGATAGCAGGGGCTCTTTGGTAATTTGCATTTAATAGACTTGTATTCCCAACAGATGGATTAAAAACATGCAACGTTCCATTACCTTACGACCTTTGCTCTTCCACATTCTGAGTGGGGGGTGCCGCCGATTCATTATCCTCTTCGGTAACTGTCTGTAATTTCTCCGGAAACTGCTTCCGGTGGTCCTTCAAGGAATCTCTCTTGTACACTTTTTGGATTTCCTTTATGATCTCTCCTTCTTATGGTTCTTCATCCCCAACTTCCATCCATGTTTCAGATATACCTTCTTCATCCTCTGAGCTAGCCCCTTCTTCGTCACAGGATTGTCCTTCATAGAAGTTTTTCGATGAATCAAATTGGAATGGGAACCAATCCTCATCAAATTCAACAACCCCAACCTTGGTTATCTGGTCATCAGTGGCTACCTCAACTTCTTCATTGATCCTTGTTCGCCGTGTTGTAAGGATGCCGACTTTCACGCAGGACAAGTCTACCCTGTGATACACATCGTCGAAAGGAGCGATTATCTTCCCAAACTTCTTGCAGATTGCTTCAAAACTCATACTTCCCCAAAGTTTCAATGGAAGCCCCACTAATCTCACCCATGCTATCCGTTCAAAAAAAAAAAATTCTGGGCTCTCTACAGGTTCAACCCACTTTAAGTTTTCAGCCCATCTTTGTTTATTTTCTCGAAAACTCCTCGCCTCTACCGAGTTATCAAAGCATAATAAAACCTTCAGACCTCCAATGTATTTGATTTCGAGGTCCTGCTCTTCTTTTTCCAGAAGAAGTTTGGGGAGATGACCCAGGTGTGAGAGGGAGATGGCTTCAGCAATGAGTGTAGTTTTCCTAAGCCATGAGTACGTCACAGGTTCCTGTTTAAGGAGGATTGGTGGTTCCGGTGCATATTTCGGTGAAGGAGGCTTGGGTCTGATTACCTCTGCGTAGGAACAGTGATCTCTCACTCCAAGTCTAGGCTCGACCCACGTTGGCTGTTTATGCCGTTGCACATTTGTCTTCTGTGGGGTCAGCTTCCTAAGTTGCCTGGACACATTCACCATCAGCCTCTTCCCATTGTATGAGATACCATTAAGTTTCTTCTCTAATCCAGAGATGTCATTAACTCCTCTGAATCGGACGAAAGCAAATTTCTGCCCATTCCATCTCTTCTTAGTTCCCATATACACGTCCGATATCTCCCCGTATTCTGCGAATCACCTCCATAGATCTGTTTTGTTTGTATTATCAGGGACGTATGAGACAAAGAATGTCGTATCGCCTCTTACTCTCGCCGGTGCTTGCTTTTTCCGCCGGACTTCCGTGCAACCTTTCATCTTCTTTTTGAATTATGTGCACTTTTTATTGATGCTCTTTCGTTGACAAAGTTTATTTCTCCCGTTAAATAGAAAATTACTATTTCACTTTTAACGTTTTAGTCTTTTATAAATTGTTATATTATTATTGTGGGTATGGGTGTTAATTTTAGACATGACACGAATTTTAGACATTACACGAACCCGACCAGCAAATAAATGTGCTTGAGTAAGGGATTTCAATCCATTTAATTAAAATGTTTGATACGACACGACACAAAAATAAACAGGAATGGTTAGGGTCTAAACTTTCGACATGAAAATAAGTAGTTTATTTGTATGCAACTTTTTTTAAAATCTTTTAGGTAAATTGTGTTGGTGATTTTAGTGTCACCTAACATTTTGTGTAATTGGAACGGATATGTGAGCTAGGGGCTTATCCTTTGTACTCTATATTATATGTTTGATGAATGCGAAGTGCATGCATATATAAGATCGAATTATAAGTCGTTAAGACAGAAAGGCGGGTGTCAAGGGGGTCGCGCCCCTTTGCAATGTCCTAGGGGCAGAGCTCCTAGCGGGGTCCAAGGGGAAGAGCCCCAAAAGGTCTTCAGATTTTTGAATTAGTTACATCATGGAAAAATCGAATTATAATGAGTGATTATGGTCAAATTGATAAATCTTATCAATTTTAGTAACCATTGATTATACCATTAATTTCGTGATTTCCCTAACTAATATAGAAGATTAACCCTAATATGTCATGTATTTATACGACTCCTTTTTTGAGCCGTAAAGATAACCTTTCTTCAGCTCTCCTTCTTCTATACGAACTCGAACCCTCTGGCGAGTTGGCTTGTGTTTCTATGCCGAGATACACAAGTGTCATTTTGGATTATCCTAGACTGGATTTCCTGTAACCCATGCATAGGGTGGAAATATCGGTTCGGAAAGTGAACTTACACGATCCAAGAGAAATATGGTTCTCCACCATCACCCTACTCAAATATCCTCCAACAAATTAGGTATGCCCAAATGCAAAACCAAATATAAATAAATAAATAAATAAATTGTGTTGAGTTGGTTTGTAATGTGGAAGCCTCTATATTGGCTATATTGGTTGCGTAAGTCAATACATATTTTTAGTTTTTCACTTTTTCATTAATATCTCATACTCCAAGATTTCATTGCTCTCTTCCTTTCAACGTGACTTCGCTCCTCTAAATTTATTGTGAATTTCACCCATCCACCTCCCACATTATTACTCCCTCTTGCTTTTCACCTCTCCAATTCCTACTATTTCAACATATTTAGTGTTTCAATCTAGCACGACACAAGATATTTATAATGTCTAAAACCTAAACCTGCCAACTTGACACAAACTCGATACTAAAATAAACATGTTGAGATAACACGACACGATAATTAAATGGGTTATCACCAAGCTATCTCAACACATTTAAGTTTCAACCCAACACAAAAACGAGACAACACGTTTTTCACCTTTAATTGTTTAGGTGCACCCCATCCCTACATCTCCTTCACGATCCTTCCCATTCCTTATCGCCTTCCAACGACTACCGACATCCACTTCCAACGACGTCTTTAACTTTCTAGATCAATGTCACACCCCAAAACCGGAATGACGGAAACGTTCGGGGGTGGAGGACGTCATGTTTAGTATCACAAGTCATGCATCATAGTAAGCAAAGTAATAAACAACCATTTCATTAGAAAGAAAGTGTTTACAAAGTATGTGATTCACATAATATAGAATACATAGCAAATAACAAAAAGACATGAAGCTATACTGCTCCATCTTCTGAATCCCAATGCGCGTACTTGTCTACTGGTCTCCTGAGAATACAAGTTATTTTGAAAGAGTAGATCAGCATTTAAGCTGGTGAGTTCATAAGATTTTAGTGATGTAAGTAAGTTGTAAGAAAGTTGTAGTAACTTGTAAGTTCTGTTTAGAAAAGCTCGCCTGTTCCTCCAAAAAATCCTATATTTCCTGCTTTGATGAAAGCTAAGTAAAAATGACTCTACAATCCTTTCTATGAGTACTAAATGGATACAAGTTATATAAAACCCAGAGTAAACAAACAATCGGTTATGTGTATCTGCCTTAAGCCCACAACCAAACAAGGAACAGGAAATGAGGCGGAAAGCACACATCTCATTGTTTGTTAGATCATCGTTGTATATAACCCTCGCATATTCACTTGGTACTCACGGAGTTAACTGTAATAGTTCCTTTAATTTGATGTAAACATTCTTTAAGAAAACCCTTATTTCTTTTAGTAAAAATGGTAACCATAGTGGTTCCTTCTATAATCACTTGGTTTATACTAGCTATATATAATCTAATATCGAACAGATAGTTAATTGTGTGAATCTGCCCTAAGCCCACAACCAAACAAGGAACAGGAAATTAGGCGGAAAGCACACATCCAACTACCTATCAGATAGTAATTATATATAAACCTGATGTATAAACCAAGGTATTGTAGAATTAATCACCTAAGGTCCTTTAAGTTTATACTGGTTTAATAAAATGGATTAAACCCTTTACTGGTAAGTTTCTAGTTTTGTATACCAAAGTTCTTATTTGAAAAGTATGTTTTGTACTAGAAAACGGTGCATTGAATTAGTGTCCTATGACCTGACCCATACATGGTACCCCTTATGATTACTTAGTGTATACGGAACATATATATAGCTAAGATCGGATAAATAGTAGGCTGGGTGAATCTGCTCTAAGCCCACAACCAAACAAGGAACGGAAAATGAAGCGGAAAGCACACCTCCTACTACCTGTCGGACCCGATTAATATATATCCCTGAATGCATACACTAAGGAATCATAAAGTTAGCATTATAGGCCCCCTTTCTACTGAATATACTAGACTCGGCTGTTCTGTTTGTCGTTTGTAAAATGTAAGTTTTCCCTAGTTTATAACTATCTTGACTCGAAAATAGCTTGTATTAACTTTCAAGTGGAACTGTCACAAAATGAAAGTAATGGGAAATTATAAGTACACAGTTGTCTTTTGAATTGACAACCCGCAGTACTGATTTACCTTAAAACATGTTTGTCTTATTAAGGTCATAATGTGATGGATAGTACCCATACTATACGCTCTCCCTGCAAGAGATTCTGGGGACCAAACGCGACTTCCGCAAACAAATTGCTAGGCCGTGTAAATTCACATTAAAGCTATATGATCATGTATACCCAATTTACTATCACCTTTTGTTTAGAACAATGAGTTAGTGATTATTGGTATAATTAGATCCTGAAGTGTTCTTATGCTATAGCATCTTAGTATGTTCATTCTGTTATAGTATCTTAGTATGTTCTCTTTGATGTATTGTATCTACCTCCCTGTTTCTCTTTACAGTATGATCTCTATGTTATCGTGTATTGTTTCAACCTCCCTGTTTCTCTTTATAGTATGCTCTAGTATCTAGTATGAATTGAACCTCTAAACTATACCCCTTATAGTTTACTAGTATTTTACTTGAACTGTTACTGAAAAGACTCATTTTTCTACTAAGTTATGCTTGTACATTAAAAATAGAGTTTTGTTAAACTATAAAGTAACATAACTTGAAAAGAGTTTTTGAAATGTTTTGATCACTTATAAAAGTCATAAGTAATCTTTTGAAAGATGTTTATAACAAATAATTACACAATTATCATTGTGTTCAACTTGTATCCCCCCCCCCCCTAAAAGCATTTAAAACAGTTAAAAGATTCATTATAGGGGCATGAACTCACCTTATGTGGGTGATTCAAATGAATATGCGCGTAAGGATGAGAAGTTCCACCAATGAAGTCCCGAGACTCAACGAGTCCTAAATGACATATATGTTAGAAAATAGGGGATGAATAGATTGCTTGGATTCTCTGAAAGTCGTGATTCACTATCAAATTGAAGTATTTCGATGGTACAGATCGAACACTCAATTGGATAAAATTCAGAGAATGAAATCTGAGAATGTATGTGAAAATGTTCTTGAAGATGTACCAGAAAATTATTGGGGTTTGAGCATTCTAACACTCCTATGGTGTACATGCAACCCTATAAACCTTGGATCTATGTTTTCTCTATTATACATGCAAATATTAACTATTCCAAGGTTTCATCCTAACTAGCATATTATGAAGCACCTATACTACAAAGTTCTAGTTAGATGACATACCTTTTGTTGTGGCTTGAAGTCTTGATGTATTTGGCCTTAAGAGCTTAGCACCAATAGTATGAAATGCCTCAAATGGAATCACAACACACCTAGGACAAAGGTGGCTCTTGAGAGAGAATTCCATGCACCAAAACACCTCCATATTTCTCTAAGAAAAGAAGTGGTGATTTTGGCTATGGAGTAACCTATTTATATGTAGGATTCCAAGGGTCATGGGTATAACCCATAATCCATACCCATGGGTTTTATGATCCATGGTTCATGTGGCCCAACTCTTTATGTATCCATACATAAACTTGGTCCAACATGGATCATAAGCCCAACACATATAAATATAACTAATTATCATAATTAGTCCTCATAGATTTAATTAGTCTCTTTTGATCACTAAATTAATTCCAAATTAATTCTTGATCGATACTAATTAAAACATATGATTTCATATTAATATATTATAACTTATAATATATTAATAAACCATAAATAACCTTCTCTCAAAAGTCCATCCTAACAAATTGTCCTGATGATATGCAACCCAAATGGACCATGCTACTCTCGGGCCAAGTACATACCAATAATAGTTATGGGCTTAGACATCTAATCCAACAGTCTCCCACTTGGATAAGTCTAAAACTATTATTGCAAGTACGACTTCATAACCC